CATATGTCTGATCCAGCAGGACAGGCACAGCTGGATACCTCCAGGATGGAGGAGACCAGTAGAATATCAAAAGATGAGGGCACTTTAACGAATTCAAAACATGGAAACTGAACGAATATCAAAAGGAAACTTGAAGGAAAAACCTGATATTATAGAAAGTATAAACAGAGAAAGAGATATGTTGGAGACTGTAAAAAGTATGATGGATTTGAGAGAAGTTACAGAGATTATAGAAAATGTCAGAGAGTCAAGTGATAAAACTAATGATAAGGAAGAAATGAAGGAAACAAATGAGAGTAAGGTCTTTCAAAAAATGAGTGAGGAAAGAAATTGTAAAAGTTGGAATATAAAAGATGTAAATGAACGACGTGATCAGAGAGAAGGTTGTAGTGTGCAGGATGAGGGAAATGATGATTTGAAAGCAAGAAGTTTGTACAATGTATCTCTTCAGGGCTCTTTCCATCAAGCTGATCCTATGTTTGGTGACACTGCAGGAACTCAGTGTGTGGCAAATTGTTTATCAGGTTTAGCTTATAATCTTCTGAAAAGTGCACAAATATGGCAAACAGCTGATATCAACAAAGTTTTAGTGAATGGAGATGAACTTTACACATACCTGCAGAACTGTTCTTCAATTACAAGTAGGTATTTGTTAGTTGATGAGTTACCACAGTATTTTGAATGCTTTAGCAACACATTTGACTTTACTGTGAAGGTCTTGGTTCCAAGTTTCATCAGCTTATCAGAGGAGGAGCCATGTTATCAAGATTTTAATGCGTATCCTCTTTATGAAGCTCTCCAGATGGCACTTACTGAGACAAATGGATGTTTTGTGTGTTTTGGGGGAAATACCCTTTTAATTGGAAAAACTACTGATGGCTTTTTCATATTTGATTCACATGCACGGTGCTCTCAGGGATATTTAAGTGTTAGAGGGAAAAGTACAAGAATTTTGAAAAAGGATGTTCAGGATGTGTGCTTGCATCTTAGGTCTCTGGCTCTTTCTATGGGCTTTTCAAGAATTGTTGAATGTGAATTAACTGGAGTGTTGTGTTCACTGAAACATTTTGCTATTGCAGATGTTTATGAGGTTGAAGGTTTTGAAGAACAGTCAGAAGCAAATGTATGTTTTACGCAAAGGTACTTCAATGTTAAAGCAATCAAAGGATGAAGATACTTGGAGATATTCAGGAGCATTGAAAGATTCAAATCAGTGTGGGTTATTGTCAGTACAGTCGGATGTATTGCAGACAGATGAAGTAATTTTTATGGGTGAGGAAGTCAAACAACATGATTTTATTCCTTTGTCGGTACAGAAACAAAGGGAGTTGTGCAAAGAGTTGGGATTTTCTTATTCTGTTTCTAGATGTGAAAATGATGCAGTTTCCATAAAAAACATGGATATACCAAGCAACTGTCAAGAAATAGAAGGAGATGGAAATTGTTTTTTCAGGGCAATATCATACAGTCTTACAAACTCTGAGAACTATCATCAGCATCTTAGAAAAGCTGTTTGTCAACATTTGTTGAAATATGAAAAAAAATTTCAGCAGTTTATGAGGTGTGAGGGGTCTTTAAGATCATACTTACTTTCCAGTGAAATGTCAGAGGACGGTATATGGGCTACTGAATTGGAGATTCTTGCAATGTCGCACATGTTGAATATAGACATTTATACTTATTCAGATATGAAATGGATTCAATTCAGTGGGGAAGAACCAAATCATGAACCGGGTGAACATGATGGTGCTATTTATTTATACCACAGGCAGCAGAACCATTATGATGTGGTTTTAAGTGTAGTTGCGAGGATGTCGGAAAGCAATTCATTCATCCAAAACAGTTCGAGCAAGAGAGAGTATAACTTGCGCAGGGGAAATCGAGATCGAATGAAAGGAAAACGAAATGCTTTTAAAATGAAAAGGCCATTAAAGTTAAAAGAAACTCGTAGAGACACATTTAGGAAAAAGTACAACGGAAGTGAAGAGTTTCGGGAAAAAATGTTGAAGCAAAAGAAAAACATGTACTCAACTACAGAGCATAAGTTAAAAACTCAGATGAAGAACAAATAAAGGTATCATGCTTTAGATTCAGAACTTCAAAGGGAAGTGCAACGAGCAAGTAGAGAAAGAAGTAAACTGAAGTACTCAACTAACGTTGAACACAGAGAGGAGAAGAAGGGGAAAAGTATTCAGAAATACAAGTGTGATGCTCAGTTCAGAGATCAAGTGAAGGAAAAGAGCAAAGAAAAGTACAGGGCAAATGTGGAACATCAGGGAAATGTCAAGAAAGCAAGTACTGAGAAGTACAAAACAAACTTGGAACACCAGGAAAATGTAAAAAATGCAAGTACTGAAAAGTACAAGACAAACGTGAAACACCAGGAAAATGTAAAAAAGGCAAGTACTGAAAAGTACAAGACAAATTTGGAACATCAGAGAAATGTAAAAAAGGCAAGTACTGAAAAGTACAAGACAAACTTGGAACATCAGAAAAAAGTAAAAATGGCAAGTACTGAAAAGTACAGGACAGATTTGGAACATCGGGACAATGTTAAGAAAAGAAGCAGAGAAAAGTACAAAACAGACCTGGTACACAAGTCTAAAGTTAAACAGGGAGTTTTAAAGAAATACAAAGAGAATGAAACATATAGGATAAAAAACAAAGCTGCCAATGTTCTTAGATACAGTACAAATGAAACTTTTAAAGCAATTGTTAAGGAAAAAGCAGCAAAGAGATACCAGACTGATACCAGAGTCCAATCAAAAGTGAAGAAACGTAGTAAGGATAGCTATCACTCATCTGCAGAATTGAAAAGGAAGAAAAAAGAAAAAGTTTCACAAAATAGGAGGCTAAAGCAACTGAATTTGGAACATGAAGAGGAAGTAATCAGATTGTTTAAGAAAAATGCAATGGAGGGACCTGATTTTGTTTGTACATGTTGCCATAGGCTATTGTTTAAAAGTCAAGTTCAAGCTTGTGAAAGGCAGATGTATGAGAAAAGTGAATCAGCAAGAACTATTTCTAACGTATGTTTATTAGACAAGTATTTACATGAATGTTCTAACTCATGCCCAGAAGCATGTACCAAATCTTCATTATGGGTTTGTTATACATGTCATAGGAAAATACTGAGTGGCAAAGCACCAGCGGAGGCTGCAGCAAACGGTATGATTTTAGAGGATATTCCACCCGAGTTGTCTAAATTGAACAGTTTAGAACAGCATTTAATTGCAATTCATATACCGTTTATGAAGGTTATGGCTCAACCCCATGGTGGGCAAAAAAATGTTCATGGACCTGTTATTTGTGTGCCTTCAGATATGAAAAAGACTGCCAGTTTACCAATGAAACAGGATGAGAACTTGTTGTTACGTGTTAAATTGAAAAGGAAATTGAATTACAAAGGCTATTTTGAGTATCAGTTTGTTAATATGAGCCATGTCATGACCGCTTTATCATACTTGAAAGAAAACAACCTTTGGTACAAGGATGTAAAAATTGAATCAAGTATTGAAGAAGGTTTGGCGAATGATGAGGAGAGGACAGATGTAAATGCAAAGGACAACGAAGAAATTGAAGAGGAAATAGTTTCATTTGACACATGTTTGCAGCCAGTTGATGTTGCACAGGAAGTTTTAGACCACTACTTTGATGATGTGTACAATATTGCACCAGGTGAAGGGAAAAACCCTATTCGAATGTTGCAGGAACCTGGCAATGAAGCAAAGGCATTTCCTTGTCTTTTTCCAAGTGGTAGTTTTTCCTGGAATGAAGAAAGATCAGAAAAATTAACACTTTCGAGGTATTTCAACAATAGGCTAATGAATGCAGATGACAGGTTTGCTAAAGATACCAATTACATTTTCTTCAGCCAGTACATGTCTGAATTGAACCAAGTGATTGAAAAAACACAAATTTCACTTCGAAAATCTCTATCAAAATGTACTAGTGGGAAACCTGTAACAATAGATATGCTGCAAGATCCAACTACTCTCTGTAGATTGCTGAGAAATGATGATGCAATTAGATTTATGCAACCGATAAGAGGAACACCAGCTTATTGGGCAAGTGCTCAAAAGGATCTCTTTGCAATGCTGCGGCAATTAGGCATCCCTACTTGGTTTTGTTCGTTTTCTGCAGCAGAGTACAGATGGAATGACGCTGTTAAAGCTATATTGCAACAGCAGAATGATAACAGAAATCCTGATGAAATGGAATGGTCGGAAAAAAAATGAAGTTCTAAGATGCAATCCAGTCACAGTAGCTAGAATGTTTGACCATAGATTTCAAGTATTTCATAAGGAGGTTATACTTTCCCCAGCAGAACCAATTGGAAAAGTAGTAGACTTTTTTCAAAGAGTGGAGTTTCAGCAGAGAGGATCTCCTCATATGCACTGCTTATACTGGGTTGAAAATGCACCCAATATTGATTCTGATGGGGAAGAGGTTGTATGTAGCTTCATTGACAGGTATGTGACATGTGCTATACCATCAGAAAGTGATGACACAGAACTGAGGAAAAGTGTCTTGGATGTGCAGCAACACAGTAGAAAACATTCAAAATCTTGTAAAAAGAAAGGAACTGAATGTAGGTTTAATTTTCCGAGGCCTCCATCACAGAAGACATTTATTACAAATACACAAGACGAAGAGACATCAAATGAGGATGAAACGGAGAGAAAAGTAAACAAGGAATATGCAAAGGAGATATTACTTAGTGTTTGGGATAAGTACAAAATGAAGATGACACATTGGGAACAACAGAGGAACTATTTGATAATCTGTCACTTACACAGGAACTGTACGAAGAAGCCCATAACATGTTATCAACAAAAAGGTCAATTATTCTCAAACGATGCCCACATGAGGTATGGACAAATCAATATAATCGATGTCTGCTGAAGTCATGGGATGCAAATATGGGTATACAGTTTGTACTAGACCCATTCAGTTGTATTGTTTATATTGTTTCCTATATATCAAAGTCAGAGAGGGAAATGGGTATGTTACTCAAGCAAACAAAAGTAGAAGCTGAGGAAGGAAATCTCGACGCGAAACAGACCATGAAAAAAATTGGTTCTGCTTACTTACATCACAGAGAAGTGAGTGCACAGGAAGCTGTATACAGAATCTGTAACTTAAAAATGAAAGAATGCTCTCGAAAAGTTGTTTTTGTGCCAGTAGGAGACAACCCGATGCGCTTAAGTAAGCCATTATCTGTTCTGAAGAAGAAATCATCAAAGGCTACTGAAATAAATGATGAGGAAGATGACGAAAATGAAGTTTGGATGACCAACATTATAGAACGTTATATGAACCGACCACAAAATCAAATTTTCCAAGAGATGTGCCTTGCAGAATTTTGTTCTGAGTTCAGAGTTCTTGCTAAATCTCAGGTTCCTAAGAAGGAAAATCAGAATGTGTTTGAATTACAGAATGGGAAAGGCTTTGTTCAACGAAGAACTAGAACGCAACCTGCTGTTGTTAGGTATCCAAGATTCAGTGTTGAAAAAATGTCCGAGAAATACAATCAATCTCTTTTGCAACTTTTTCTTCCTTATTGGACAGAGGCACAGTTGAAACCACCAGGATTTGAGTTATATGAAGATTTTTATGAGACAGGCTTTGTAAAAATTTCTGGCAGAAGAACAAAGGAATCGGTGAAGTCAATTGTGGATTTCAATCATTCACGTTATGCAAAAAATGAAGATGTGATTGACAATGCTCAGGAGGCATATGAGATGAATGGTGAACCTGAGGATGCGTGGTCAAGAATATGTCCAGAAACAGAGGTTCTGAGAAGGGAAGGTATAGCCCAGAGAAAGGAAAGTTCAGTGCCACAGGAGGAAAATGTGGATATTATACTGGAGTTCGAAAGCGAGACACATAATGCAGATGTCATGTATCATATTCAGCAAAATGCAATTACAAGAGAGGAAATGTTACCTGTTCTTCAAAGATTGAATGAAACACAGAGTGAAATATTTTACATGGTGCGTGAGTGGTGTCTTGCAAAGATTGGAGGAGAGAAATGCGAACCCTTTCATTTATTTGTTACTGGAGGTGCAGGAACTGGAAAAAGTCATCTGATAAAAGCCATCCATTATGAAGCATCACGTTTGCTTTCACAGATAATGTCTGAACCAGATAGACTATCAGTTCTTCTCGCAGCATTTACTGGAACTGCGGCTTTCAACATTGGTGGAAATACACTTCATCACTTGTTTTCATTAACAAAGTATCTTCCCCTCCCGTATGAACCTCTTGGAGAACAAAGTCTCAGTGAATTGAGAGTAAAGATTGGGGATCTGCAAATTCTTATCATTGATGAGATATCAATGGTTTACAAAAGGCTACTGTACTATGTACACGAAAGACTGGTGCAAATTAAGAAATGCAAAGAACCGTTTGGAGGGGTTTGTGTTATTGCTGTAGGGGACTTTTACCAGCTTCCACCTGTTAAGCAGCGAAAAGATGAAAGACTTTACAAAGAAAATATGAGTTATCCTATGGACTACTGGCTTGATTTGTTTAAGGTCATTGAATTAAAAGAGATAATGAGACAAAGAGATGATCTGTGCTTTGCTGAAGTTCTGAATTCCCTTCGTGTCAGAGAGAGAAATGAACCATTAACAGAGGAGCAACGTTCTCTGCTAGATGATTGTATCAGGGAAGGGCCAGAAGATGTTCTCCATGTGTTCTCTACGAATGAAGAGGTGAATACATTTAATTTGTCAATGCTTAAGAAATCTTGTGAAGATTTACTGGAAATTGATGCTGAAGACTACAAGAAAGACAAAACAACCGGGGAACTCATGCGAAGAACCAAACCTTTGACAAGATCGAAAAGCGATGGACTTCCAAGCTCGTTGATTTTGTCTGTCAATGCCAGGGTAATGCTTACAAGAAATGGTAATGTTGAGGATGGTCTCGTGAATGGAATTATGGGACATATCTGTCAGTTTGCTTCTGTAGAAAACAGCGATAGAAGTGTCAGAGCTGTAGGAGTTGTGTTTGATAATAAGGAAGTTGGAAAGAAGTCCGGACAAAACACAAACGATAAGAACATAGTGTTCATAGAAAGAGTGCAAGAAGAGATGAAAGACAAGGTATCCACGGTGGTTAGACACCAATTTCCAATCAGGTTGTCTTGGGCATGTACAGCTCATAAGGTGCAAGGGATGACGACAAATAACGTTGTTGTAAATTTAGACAAAGTATTTGCCCCAGGCCAGGCTTATGTTGCATTATCAAGGGTTACTTCAAAAAGTGGTCTCTTTATTGATACAGAAGACCCTGTTCAATTGCAAAAAACTGTTTATGCTGACCCAGAGGTAAAGGCAGCATTGAACGTAATGCTGAAATATACTTTTGTCGACTATTCACGGACTTTACCTGCCAATGGAATGAAAATAGTTCTGCATAATATACAGAGCTTGAACAATCATTTTGCAGATCTGAAAAATGATACAAGGATCAAACAAGCAAGTATTATTTGTTTGACAGAGACATGGTTAAGATCGGGAGAAGAAATCGAGAAGTATGTACTTCAAGGGTTTCAGTTTCATCATCTTCCTAGAAAGGAAGCTTATGACGAGAGCACAGTTTCAAACCAGAGTTTACGCAATTTGTCAAGAGGTGGAGGAGTTGGATTGTACTTGAAAGATAATGAAGGTTATAATGATGTTCTGCAATTGCCCAGGATGAATATTGAAGGAATAGCAGTGAAAATACTGAAGGAGAATATTTTGTTGTTGGTTGTATATCGACCGTGTACAGCAAAAGTGACATCGTTCCTTCACAATCTTCAGAATGTTCTTGACAAGTTGAAAACAAATGAACAAGACAGCATCGTCATAGGAGATTTCAATGAAGATGCCAACGCTAATGGTCCAATTCAAAGATTTATGAGAGATCGAAACTTCAGACTGCTTGTGTCTTTTAGTACAACTGAAGGGGGAACAATTTTAGATCATGTTTATGTATCTAGTTCGATACAGATTGACGTTCAGAAAGTTCCAACATATTACAGTTATCACGATGCTCTATTACTGAAATTCCTAGATTTTTAAAACACCCCGACATATTCTAACAGTTCACTGAATTATGACAGAAGATAACTTTAATTCAAAGTGTACTTTTTCTTTTGATATGGAGATATCAAGTATTTTCAGTTTAGCTAATTATGTAGCCGTATTTATGTAGAAAGTCTGTAACAAAGTAGTATATTATCTTACAGAATCATAGCGTTCATGATTGCAGTTGATAGTTTGTTTTCAGAGAATGTAAATACACATCTGTAAATAAGAATCGGTTTACAATGCTTAGACTGAACTCCCTTAAAATTTTAAAATCAGTTGCTAGATTTAGACTGTACCTGTAATGATACTCAATTTTATTGATGGAAAATGCTAAGCAGGTAGCAGTATAACATTGTATATAAGTGTTGATACGTTAGTACATATATATTCCAGGAATATCAGGTAGGTTTACTAGCTGAACTTGATGAAGATATATTAAACATTGATTTGTAGTAAAGATACGATAGATTCAAGATTGTATATATTTGATGTTTTATTGTCCTTCTCCTGTTACTTTTAATTTATTTAAACGATGAAGAGGAATGTTGTTTACGTTAATCTGATCCCAAAAAAAATTACCGTACATGAATCAGAAAAAATACCAGGAATTCATATTTGATATTCTGCAGAACAATTACTTTAAAGAAAAATGTAAATAGTGCAGACGAGATTGACGTTAATAATCATTGCACATTAATCCTCTTTCTAGGATGCAAACTTCTCATTTGTAAGAAAATTGTTTACTAACCTGGTGATCGATATATTATGTCGTACCCAAGTATACAGAAGACCCTATTCAATAAAAGAAAGTGTTTATGCTGACCCAGAAGTACACGCATCATTGAACATAATGCTGAGATATACTTTTGTCGACTATTCACGGACTTTACCTGCCAATGGAATGAAAATAGTTTTGCATAACATACAGAGCTTGTGCAATCATTTTGAAGATCTGAAAAATGATACAAGGATCAAACAAGCAAGTATTATTTGTTTGACAGAGACATGGTTAAGATCGGGAGAAGAAATCGAGCATTATGTACTTCAAGGGTTTCAGTTTCATCATCTTCCTAGAAAGGAAGCGTATGACGAGAGCACAGCTTCAAACCAGAGTTTACGCAATTTGTCAAGAGGTGGAGGAGTTGTATTGTACTTGAAAGATAATGAAGGTTATAATGATGTTCTGCAATTGCCCAGGATGAATATTGAAGGAATAGCAGTGAAAATACTGAAGGAAAATATTTTGTTGTTGGTTGTATATCGACCGTGTACAGGAAAATCGATACAGATTGACGTTCAGAAAGTTCCAACATATTTCAGTTATCAAGATACTTTAATACTGAATTTCATACATTTTTAAAAGAACCCAATATATTCAAACAGTGTATGTGTTAGTAGTTTTGTTCACTGAACTATGACAGAAGATTGCTTTTATTCAAAGTGTATTTTTTCTTTCGATATGGAGACATTAAGTTTATTCATTTTAGCTATTAGTTTAGCAAAATTTATTTAGAAAGTCTGAAACAAGATATTATATTATCTTACAAAATTATAGCATTCATGATTGCAGTTGATAGGTTGTTCTCAGGGAATGTAAATACACATCTGTAAATAAAAATCAGTTTACAATGATTAGAATGAACTATTAAATTCAGTAGCCAGATTTAGATTGCATCCTGTAATGATACTCAATTCTGTTTACGGAAAATGCTAAGCAGGTAGCAATATAACATTGTATATAAGTTTTGATACGTTAGTATATGTATATACTGCAGGAATATTAGGCAGGTTTACTAGCTAAACTTAATGGAGACATATAAAACATTTGTAGCAAAGATAGGATAGATTCAAGATTGTATATATTTGATGTTTTATTTGTCCTTCTCCTGTTATTTCAAAATTATTTAAACGACGAAGAGGAATATTAACCATATTGTATACGTTTGAATTACTGATCCAGACATAAAAAAACAATTACCGTACACAGCTGGTACATGAAGCAGAAAAAATACCAGGAAATCATGTTTGATATTCTGCAGAACAATTACTTTAAAGAAAAAATGTAAATAGTGCAGACGACATTGTCATTAATAATCATTGCACACTAATCCTCTTTCTAGGCTGCAAACTTCTCATTTGTAAGAAAATTGTTTACTAACCTAATGATCAATCAGAATGTCGTACCCAAGTGTATTCAGTTATTTATAGAATTTCGTTTTCGGCAAAGACAATATGCCAATGATTTCTGTATTATCTTTAAATTTTTTTTGTCAAAAGAATATAACGAATATATATTTGAATGAGTATTAAGGTACATAAACCCTCTGCTCACTTGTATAAAATGTTGATTGAAACTTAATGATTTTCCAAAAGAGATTATTTTTTAAGTAAAATACAAACAATTATAACAGAGCTTGCGGGGCAAAATTGGACAAACATGACATCTCAACGTTGCAAATCTTTAAAGGAATGATAGACATTTATCTCTCTTATCAGAGTATCAATGAACCTTAAAACAAAACAAAACGGGAAATGATACCAGAAAACTTTTTGATATATATTTGATAGGTTTCAAAGTTATCAATGAACCAAAAGAAAAGGAATTTCTGAGAATTGCCAGAGTTTTAATGAACTTTTTCTCACAAATTCGAATTTATAAACACACATTTTATAAAATAGTCATCATATACCACTTTTATTTGCATAGAGCAAGGCTTGGAAAGAGAAAGTACAAACATAAATAACCGATTCAATGCTTAAAGAAATCCATAAAAAACAAATAGGATTGGGGAAAATACCGTTATTTTGATTAAATTAGAATAAAGTTAGCAGTTATATTTCCAGGTCATCGTAATTTCACAAAGATGTGTTTAATTGTTGTAAATATTCAAAAAAGTAGCTTTGTGATTTTCTTTAGTGAAGTTAGGAATAAATAATAAGAAGAAAATATTATATATCCTGCTCAAAATCCTACTTCCACCTCCCCGCGGTGAGCAGGGGGCAACGGACTTTGTCCGGCAAACGGAAGAGGTGAAGACTTTTGGCACCTTATATGATGGATCAGCCAATTTTGTCTTCAAATCATCTTAAAGCTCTAATGTTTTTAAACACTTTTCGTTCAAAAACTAATCAGGAATTCTTTTTCGTTTCCGAGATATTTGCAAAAGAAATATTTAGGGGCCTACCCTTCAACTCCTTGATGGGGACGTTTAGTGAAAACCGAAAGAACATATATTGTTCAGAACATTATTTCAAAAATATTTTGTTCAGTATTACTTATTAAAACACTTTTCAATTTAGAGATATAAAGCATCAAAGATTTAGCATTTTGGCCCCTTATGGCCCCTATTTATGTACCATACGACATTAAAATCTTGATGTATAGTTGTAGATTATTGAGATAAACATTTTTGCTTCTGTAATGTATAACAAAATATTGACTGCTAAAAACTTATCGATTGAAGACTTTTGGAACCTCTCGGTCCCTATTGAGAGTGTCCAGTCCCCTCTTTTATTTTTCCTTAAAGCTCGTAGGATTTTGAACACTTTTTGTTCAACAACTATTCAGAGATTCATTTTCATTTTCGAGCTATTAGCAACAGAAATATTTAGGGGTCAACCCTTCAAATCCTTAATGGGGATGTTTAGCGAAAAATGAAAGGTTGTATATTGTTCAGAACATTAATTTGAACATCTTTTGTTCAATATTACTTATACAAATATTCCCCACTTTTTGAGATAGAAAACGTCAAAGATTTCACATTTTGGCCCTTTTGACCCCTTATAACGTAACATACGACATTAAAATCATAATATATAGCTAAAGATTGCGAGTGGGTCTTCCGTTCGATTCTTGATCAGATGAGATCAGATTTTGATTGAGATTTTCATTCTTAAATAATGATTTTACAAAATCTGTAAAAAGACATTGAACAATAAAGACTTCTAAAAAAGACTTTTGGCCCCTCACAGCCCCTAAAATTAGTGATCAGGGATCTTTTTTCTTCATGTCATTTTAAAGCTTTAAAGTTTTCGAGTCATTTGCAAAAAAAATATTAAGGGACCAGCCCTTCAACTCCCTAATGGGGACGTTTAGCGAAAAAGGAAAGATGCATATTGTTCAGAACATGGATCTGAACATCTTTTGTTCAATTTTACTTATCAAAATATTTCTCACTTTCGAGATATAAAGCGTCAAAGATTTAGCCTTCTGGTTCCCTGTGACCCCTTATTATGTAATATACGACATTAAAATCATAATATACAGTTGTAGATTGTTCAGATAAACATTTTTGCTTCAGTAATGTAAAACAAAATATTGACTGTTAAAGAGTTATCGAAAAAAGACTTTTAGCCCCTTTTGGCCCCTAATTTGAGTGCCAAGCCCCTTTTCCTGGATTTTATCTTGAAGCTCTCAGGTATCTGAACACTTTTTGTTCAATAATTATTCAGAGATTCTTTTCCGTTTTCGAGTTATTTGCAAAAGAAATATTTAGGGGCCAACCCTTCAACTCCCTAATGGGGACGTTTAGCGAAAAATGAAAGGTTGCATTTTGTCCAAAACATGATTTTAAACATCTTTTGTTCAATATTACTTGTCAAAATATTTCTCCCTTTCGAGATATAAAGCATCAAATATTTAGCCTTCTGGCCCCTTGTGGCCCCTTATTATGTAATATACGACATCAAAATCATAATATGTTGTAGATTGTTCAGATTAACATTTTTGCTTCAGTAATGTTTAACAAAATATTGACTGTAAAAAAGTTATCGAAAAAAGACTTTTAGCCCCTTTTGGCCCCTAATTTGAGTGCCAAGCCCCTTTTTCTGGATTTTATCTTAAAGCTCTTATGATTTTGAACACTTTTTGTTCAACAACTATTCAGAGATTCTTTTTCGTTTTCGAGTTATTCGCAAAAGAAATATTTAGGGGACAACCCTTCAACTTCCTAATGGGCACGTTAAGCAAAAAATGAAAGAATGCATATTGT